GGGTCCGTAGCGAATCGAGCTTTGCAGTCCCTCTTCATCAAAGATTATACCTGCTAATGATGACCGTCAAGTTATTTCTTTGTTGTTTTTTTGTAATCGCCCCCTCTTTGTTTTAAATGGTAAGGGTGCGTTTATAATTACGTATTTTCATGATAGTACCGAATATGATACAATCAAAATTTGAATTTGAATACCGAACTCAGAATAACAAAGTCTATGTGGAATATTTATACTATATTTGTAGGAACCCTTTGTGCCTATAAATTGTATGTATTCTCATACCTACTTTACCATCACGCGTTAATCTTTTTATACCTCTATAAGTAGCCATAACTTATCTTCAACAATCCATTGTAGGTACCTCACAATGACATGACACGTGTACTTTGACCTCACATTATGGACCACCATGGGACCGATCCACCGAAGTATTCACAGCCATTGGTCACACAATAAACCATGGTGCTTTGTATATAACCAGTCTGGCGGAAATCCGGACCGGTAACCAATTGCCATGGTATAGGTAATCGAATTGGAATAATCCGTTCCATGGAATTCTGTGAATCGGTTTTGCACTAGTTCGTTTTTGCGGATTCTCGTGTTGTTTTGATTGTTTTTTGGTACGTAATGATGTGATGATGTCAGTTAGTGTAATGGTACTATTGTTTGTGATTGTTTATTGTGGTTCTTGTTCCTGAGTTACTAAGTATAATAGGTTTTAATGCCTAATTTGCTAGTCTATTCTGTAACTTTCAATTGAAAGTGAATTCGATCGCGGTCCACTCTCATTGGCTGTGAGAATAATTTCGACCAATGACGGGGAAGAATGCAATCGAGTGAAAATAGAATAGCTCAGAACAGAATAATCAGAAAAGCGAGAACAGAATAGTCTATACAATCAGTCAAAAAAGTATCGGGGACGGATGATTTGTTGATGGTTCCAAATTCAAATTTTTGTTTTTTTGTAGTTCTTAGATTCGCACAACTGTTTTCTATTTTGGCGCGGATTTTGAGTTGCATCTGTTATTTATATTAAATACAGTGCTGGTTTTAGTAATATCATATTTAGTGTATCTAAAATCTAGTTTCTAAAGGAGCATACTTTGAAGGTGATAAAATAAATTTGGATGAATAACAGACATTTTGTGTATTATTGATGTTTTCCCGGTACTTTCTTGACAGAGTAGTATGTAACGATGTCTGTTACATCTTATTTTTATCAACTATCTACAAACACATCGTCACAACTTTTAATCCCCTGAGAAAGTAGGCAGATATACTTATTTTTATTCACATAGAAAATGAGCATATCATTTTCTATATTAATAGGTATATAGGTAGCTGCCTCATTGGCCGAGTGGTCGCAAGTGTGACTGCCGGGCAAGGGGTCTCGGGTTCAATTCCCGGGTCGGGCAAAGTACTATTGGGTTTTAAAAAAAAATCTCAGTAGTAGCACGGAGTCTGGAAATGTGCGGTATATGGCAATAGGCTCACCTCCTATTACATGGGACTCATAACATAAATAGTGAAAAGTGGGTGTTACTTCTGCGTGCACCTCTGCTTACCCTTTCGGGGATAAAAGGCCTGATGTTATGTTATGTATAAATAGGTATCTAGGAAGGTACACTAATACTTGCACACTTTTCGAAGACAGTCGAAGAGGTAGGTAGGTACGATGCTGTAGAAGGAGCTAGACAATTAGCTGCTATGCAGCGTGCAAATCGATTGTTGATCGGAACAATTTTTTTTAATTCAGCTCCCTGTAAACAGCCATGTCGTGTTAATGTAGAAGGGGACGATTAAAAATATATATAGTTATATAATTATATATGTTGGTCAGTCTACCTAGTACACTCGCATGCAAGTTGACCTCAGAAGAAGGTCCACAATAGACTCAGTTTTACCAGTATTTTAAAAATGTCCTTGTAAAAGCAAACAAGTTTAATAATAGAGGTTGGTACGAATATTTCTGTAATTTCAACGTCAAGCACAATTTTATCCTCTTCTACTTTGAATGGCAATTTCGAAATGTAAATATTTAACCTCGTTATAAATCTGTGCGCTTGCACAGTTTCTTGTTAGAAGACTGTAGGTATTAAATTACAACATAATGCAATTTCCTCTTTGACTGTGTTTGGTTCAAAATGAGTCAGAGTTTCGATCTTTGGGTAGGAAAAAATATTTATTGCTAGTAAATGCTAGCTGACTTTGCTCGTGTTGCCATGTCGTGCGAAAACAGTGACTGCGCAATAAGATAACAACTATAACAAGTAGGGACTTCCCCTAACCAATTATTGTTCCTTACATCTATAAGTAGAATTGCAACGATCTATGCAACTGCAATTGAGACAGACCATTTGCAGACCAAAAAAGTTTTCGCGACTTGAATTAGCAACGTTTTGGTACAATAAAAAATAAAATATAATAGAATAGAATAGAATAATTTATTATGTACTCCACTTACAATATGTTTTTTTTTAATTACTATATTAAAGTAAAATTATGCTAGACTATTAACTAGATAATAATAATACATTATTTTGCTTAAAACTATGAACAGAAAAATAATAGGGCTAATTTTAATATTTGTCGCGATTTGCTTGAACTAGGTTTATGCAACCTGTGTTTCAAGTCATCACTTTATTACTATTCATGTTAAATCTATACAGGTTTGTATTATCAACTACTTATATAAAATTTAGAAATTATAAAACAAATTAAACTATGTATGTAACCTACTTACAGTAATTGATCTTAAAGAATAATTAACTACGTCAGTACATCTAAAAGTTTTTCTGTGTCATTATAATTTAATTTAAGCAAGTACTCCGTACTCCATATATGAAAGACGTATAAAGTTTTAATACTTATATCATAAGTTACGCATCAAAGAAGTAGGTTCAAAATAATAAACAGTCCACTAAGGGTTTCCTGAACATCAGCGTGTGCCATAATCTTCGCTTTGCAGGCGAGTTGGAGATCATGATGAGGATGTGCTGTCAAATGTGGAATCTCTTTTCTTAGATAAACACGGGAACAGTAAAAGTGGTGTTTAATACATAAATGCCCTTTACTCTGCTTATATTTTACTTTGCAAATATTTAAGTCTGCTATCCACGACATAAGAAAATACATTGATATAAATATTAGTAGGAATGTCGATCTCTAATTGTCGCATTCAGAGACATTTAATGATAACTTAACTATTCGTTAGTAACGATTTTTTATGGAAAATAATTGCTAAAGATTGGGTTAAGTCACCATGACTCTGAGTAGGTACGGCGGTAAGCGGTCATTATTAATAATTCTCCTTAGTTATGTATGTTACCCGACATCAACAGGGGTGGTTTTTAGTCAGTAAGAGTCTGACACTCCCTCCCGCCTGACCTAGGCGAAAGAAGACATTGATGATTTTAAACCAATAAAAAACCCCATACATTATAAATAGCATCTAACTGCAATCGTTTGTCTTATTGTCCTTTAAACAAACACAGATGTTTTCTTTATCGGCAAGTTTAGCAATTTATTTAAACACTAGTGTCTGACAGCGGCTTTACATGCGTTTCCGTGGAATAAAAAGTGTAGTAGCCTATGTGTTATTCCAGACCCTACCCCTGTTTAAAATTTCATCCGGTACCCTTTAGCAGTTTTGACATGAAGGCGTAAAAAATAATAACCTTGCGCATTTATTATAGTAGGATTTATTTGAATAACATATCTAAGTACTACCTAATATGTTATGTCTCATTGTCTGTATGTAAGAACGTCAATTGTTTCCGTTCTCACGACCAAACCATTTACAAGTTTACTGGAAAAATAATTCTTATGTCTATAGGTATTTAGGTCTAATTATTTAATTAACTTATACTTAAATGCGCAAACACGTGCGTGGTTACTACACAATGCACACCGTTCGCAGTTGCGATTCCCGCACGACATATTGTGACAGGTCATGTACAGATTCTGTAGAATTCCAGGCATGACATTCCAGCAAGCCATTGACTACAATTTGGTATCATCAGAAACCTTGTTAATTATAACGGAAACCAAACAAACCAAGATCAAAAATATTTTTCCCAAAACTAAAACATGGATCAAAACTAACGACTAACGGACTAAAATAGCAATAGGGAAGTCGTACACCTACTAGGTGTTAGGTCTATTGGTAAATCTAGAGATATATAGTTAACATCATTCTTTTTAAAGGCGTTCCCAAACGTAATTCCCAACCACGAGTCACAAAGAGAACAGATCTTCACACTAAGGAACACAAGTACCTAATACAACAAAAGCAATCGGTGAATCAGTCAATTCGAGGTGATCTGAAGCAAACTGAGTCACATGCCACGATGTCCACAGATTACAATCTATAGTGACATCCAGCTATAATACCTAGTTAACCGGAATGGCACGTTTTTTAGTAAGTAGCGGTAATGACCGAGATCTTGTGAGATGGTAGATATCAAGTCTCGGCCACAATGATATCACCACGGGAAATGTTAGTAAATACACGCATTTGTCAGGGGTATTGTTGATGTTCTGTAGGCTGGCTGCACGACTAGCGACTTGTCAGTGGTCAGGCTTAGAGACTGCTGGTGCTAGTCTCTGTTTGTTATGTAACATAATGATCATGATCATAGACCACGGAACACCATGTATTGGGTGTAAGTTTTAGTACAACCAATAATTTTATCAATCAATAATTTCCCTTCTGTTTCTGACTGAAATCAAACGTATACGCAAGTACGTTTCTGTTTTAATTATAGTGACTATCTAGGTGTAAACTTAATACATAACGTCGTGACATCGTTTAATAAGTAGTTTCAGACCAAGGTTTGAAATAAATTGGTCATTAAAATACAAAGTTTTCAAAGTAGCTAAAAAGTGGCTTATCCGAGTTTGTAAGCAACCTAAAAGCGAAAAGGTGCGCGCGATTCATCTGCGGTCACAATTGGCGCATAATAGCGGCGTTCGGCGCTCAGTGCCGCGTCGCCGCCCGCATGCCCGCCACGCGCCGCCTGCTCACCGCGCGCTGGTTCGCGCGCCGCCGACAGCCTGACGAAGATGACGCCCGTCCCAGGACTCTCCCGCGCTCCGACATGGACCGGAGACCTCGAGTCTCTCGCGTCCTCTCCTCCCCTGCTCGAACACAACACCAGACGCACCCTCCGATTGACGAAGAGTCTCTCGAACGAGCCTACCCCTCCATGGGCCACCTGGAGTACGTCAACGCTGGCTCCTCGCCTCCCGCCGAGAGCGCTCCGAACATGTACGATAGCTTCGAAGAACCTCCCCTCGACCTAACTGCGCACATTTGCGGAGACTCGTTACGTCAGAGCGCGCACGAGCAGATGCGCGCCGTCGGCGGACGTCTGCGATTACTGGACGAGCTAGAGACCGGGGTCATTACCGCAGATTCCGCTGCAACTACTTTCTCGACAGCAACCGAAGCTGAGAAGAATGTATGCCTGTTTTGGGCGGCCTTCTTGAAACTTGCTAACCTGCTACAGCCTCTGATTGAGGTTGGAGCCGACCCATTATACTTTGATGCCTTAGGATTGTCCCCGCTTCATGTAGCGGCCTTCAGTGGATCGACGGAATGCGCTAACTACCTACTATCCTGTGGCTCGGACCCTAATTACATGCCGAGATGCTTTGCTCCACTCCATTGTGCCGCGTTCGGGAACTCAGTGCAAGTGGCTAATTTGCTAATCAGTCGCGGTGCATCCGTACATTGCGCTGTGAAGTACGTCAACTGTGAAGGAGGCTTGCTCCATTGTGCCGTGCGAGCTAACTCCGTGGAATGCCTTAAATTGTTTATATCCCACGGTGTCGACGTGAATCAAATCGAGCCGGGCGGCACTAACGCTATACATCTAGCCGCTGATTTAGGAATGTTCCAGTGTCTAACAATACTGCTCGAGACGCCCGGCGCAGACCCCAATGTGCGCACGCGCGTTGGTGACAGAGAGTCGACGGCTTTACATCTGGCAGCGGACGGCGGCTTTGTGGATTGTGTGGATTTGTTGTTATCTAAAGGGGCTGATGCCAGTTTAAAGAATCACAGAGGTTTTACTGCACTCCATCTAGCTGCTCGATCGTCGAGTTTGGAGTGCGTAGAGTCCTTACTTAGAAAAGGGAACGCAGAACCGAACGCCAACGACTTCGACATGAGGACCCCATTACACGCCGCTATAGGCAAGTCTGATAGCGCTTGCGATATTATAGAAACTTTGATAAGTTGGGGAGCTAATGTAAATCAGAAAGATGAATACGGCTTCACGCCACTGCACCTGGCTGCTCTCGACGGGCTGTCAGCGTGCGTGGAGACACTAATCTACCACGGTGCTGACGTCACGACACGATCTAAAAAAGGAAACTCGGCGCTTAATGTAATAGCTCGAAAAACGCCGGCGTCTCTAGCAATGGTAACTAGAAAATTAGACTGTGCGATCACACTGCGTCACTCACAGACGAGCAATAGAGAAGTCGAACTAGAGCTAGACTTTCGTAGCATACTGCATCACTGTTACCCACGGGAGATTAGTTATTTAAATACTTTCGTCGATGAAGGGCAAAAAGAAGTTCTTCTACATCCACTATGTTCGGCATTCTTATACATAAAATGGGAAAAAATACGTAAATATTATGTAGCTCGTCTGTTTCTTAGTTTCATATTTGTTTTATGTCTAACACTATACGTGCTGACTGCTCTGGCCCATAATTGTTACAACGGCAGTAAAGATATGGAGGAAACGATTCAAGAGCAAGAACTGTGTCAAAAGCAATCCATTCTTGGAGACCTACTACGGAAAAATCCATTCGTAATAGAAATGCAGTGGTGGGTGCTAGCCGGTATCACGATATTTGAGATATTCAGGAAAGTTTACGGTATCGCCGGATATTCTACTGTGAAACAATATTTGATGCAATCTGAGAATATTATTGAATGGTTCGTGATTGTGAGCGTGTTTCTCATATCCTATATCTACACTAACATCACATACACCTGGCAGAACCACGTCGGAGCATTCGCAGTACTCGCTGGCTGGACAAACTTAATGATGATGATAGGACAACTGCCTGTGTTCGGAACCTACGTCGCTATGTACCAAAAAGTTCAAAAGGAATTTGCTAAACTATTGATGGCCTACTCCTGTATATTAATCGGTTTTACTATAAGTTTTTGTGTTATATTCCCCGACTCTTCATCTTTCGCGAACCCTTTCATGGGTTTTATAACAGTCTTGACGATGATGATTGGCGAACTCAATTTAGATTTATTGCTTAACGAGCCAGATGGTAACGATCCGCCTGTCCTCTTGGAATTCTCAGCGCAAATCACTTATGTATTATTTTTAATGTTTGTAACTGTAGTGCTTATGAACCTGCTAGTAGGTATAGCTGTTCACGATATTCAAGGATTGAGGAAGACTGCTGGTCTCTCTAAGTTGGTCAGACAGACAAAGTTGATATCCTACATGGAGCTGGCGTTATTTAACGGTTACCTGCCGAAATGTCTATTAAAAATCCTGCACTCGTCGGCTCTAGTATCTCCACAGGCCTATCGAGTGGTGCTGAGCGTGAAACCATTGAACCCGAGCGAGAAGCGTTTGCCACGGGATATAATGATGGCTGCCTACGACATAGCGAAAATGAGGAAACAATATGGTCACACGATATCATCGAGCGGGTCGACGACAGGTGCATACTCCTGCTTCAAGAAGTACGAGAACAACAATGACTCGGGCTACAGAGAGTACGGGTACTCCTCGGGGCTGGGCAGCCTCCAGGCCAGGTTGGATGAAACATCGGAGAACGTGCGTCAGTTGACTCAGGAAGTGAGAGAATTAAAGAAACTGATAAACGCTCAGCAGCTTGTGTTACAGCAAGCGTTGTCCGGCGCGATGGACCTTTGATGATATAATGGCAGCCGTTTACTTTCAATGCCACTGTACACAAGTCAATAAACTACAGTGCGTATTGTACAGCTCGCTATGTCTGTCTGACTTAAATTCTTATTGAGTGGTGATATTTTTATTCTTTTAAATTGTTTTTTTTTCATAGAAGCCCATTAGGTACATAGGTATTACACCGTCATTCATTTTAATTAGTTCTAGTAATATAACTATGATAATATTATGAGGTTTTGTTGTTATTTTCGGTGTAATTATTATGTAGAAATAGGGGTTGGAGTCGAAGACTCTGTTCATACACAGTTGTGTTGTGCCGGAATTGATTAGGTAGGTATCTACATTTAAGGGCTGGTCCCAAACTAAGATTAGCTGTTTTATTTGTAAAGAGATTAGGCCTAACTACTAGGTAAGCGATATTGATGTAATATACCTATTTATTAAACTGTAAATGGATGGAGTCTAGCTGGGATATTTTATTATTGTTTGACGTTGAAAGCACTGGACACTGTGATTGTAGGTAATTTATGTTATGCTATAATAGATTCTATTGTGATATTATTCGTGTCAATAAAATTATTTTTCAACGTACAATGGTGTTTTTTTTTGCATAGGTAGGTAATTAATATTATCTCGTAAGATAATGAGTAATGACAAAGGAAACATAACAGATTTACATAAACATTGTAACAATATTGCGGTAACCGTTTCAAGGAAAATGTACTGTAACTGACTAATAAAACAATTTACGCTCAACTAATTTTAAAAGAGCTTAATTCCATATCCATTGAATTAGATACATAAGTTTCAAGACGTGATTTATTTTTTGAAATCTACGCTACGGCCGATAATTTTTTTTAAATTATTATTAAAAGCCATTATTACAAGCCTTTGTCTAAATTACGTAAAACTTAAAAAATAGAACGCAGCGATTATTTCCAATTTTATAGAACCGCGCCATTCCATACTTGAATATTTGAACATTCCCGCCAATGTCCGCGCCGATCACCCCATCCCACTTTCCCGCCCCAAGTTTCGCGCGCAACTCGAGTGACAGCTGTGAAAGGGTCGACTGAGATTCTTATTAGACGAAAATAAACATATTTTGTCTGAATTTGTGTTTAAAACCTTCAAATTCTGTGAAATTTACTATATAGTGTAGTACTATAGTGGGAATATCCATTTATTCACATTGAATTTTTATGTTTTAACTTGATTTCTGAGTGATAATAGCAAAAATATCGAAACATAACCTTCTAATTTTCCATTGCTATTATTTTCCTGTATGAGTTTTCATTTTCTAACTGGAATTTAGAAAAATGTGGTAAATAAACAAAAGAAAAAGTGCGTCATCGATGTCGGATGCACCGGATGCACTATCTAGACCGGACATCATAAATTATTTGACGTTTAATAACTTGACATAATAATAACAATGTTGAATGTTGACGTAAATTACCCATGCGCGGACCGCTATAAACTGGTCGATAATCAATAGCCTGAAGAGCACAGGATATCTAGATTCAGGTCTTGTCTCTTTCGAACTACCCCTTCCTACTGCCCCTACCTACGACCCCTGCATCGCGCCGGGCTCGCCACCTTTATTGATTTGAGTGCAGTTCGGTGAGCGGGTCATTCTACCCGGTGCTCCAATGCAGGGCAGTTTCAAGATCCAGCTCATCAACATGGGAACTCGGGCGGCGGCATGTGAGTATACCTGTATTATTAGCGCTTAAATTAAATTCAGTGAACGCCTTGCATGGAAATTAACGCGTTTGTTTTTCAGAATTGTATGAGGGGCGTCGTTGAGTAGTGCTTTATATGTGTCCAAATGCAGGGACCACAGGATACCATGCAGTATTCGGTTTCGGATTCAGAGCTGAGCTTGAAAGGTGAGCTCGTACAAGCGAGCTAATTTTTGTGGCACTTTTTGTTCCGGCACGTTAGCTTGCCTTGTCCCTTCAACTGTTGGGGTTACCATCTGTGTCTTATTCATAGCGATTTTATAACTATTTCTTGTGTGCACAGTCCCCACTAAAAGCAGTATTTTACTTAGATAGTCTAGGCATTCAAAATAATTTTGTAGGATCAGTGCGCTAGATAACTTTAAATATTTTTTTTCTCTTACAGTTGCAGTATTGATATAAATATTATCTGTATATATTATTATAGATAGAATTTCACATCATATTTATTAAAAAATAATTAGAAAAAAATGTACCTAGATGCAAAATTAGTAAATAAAAAATACTTAGTAAGTTTGCTTGCACTTTGTAAACAAGTGTAGTATATTTTTTGGTATTTATTTGGCATATTATTCTAAAGTAAATATTCAGTTAAATTCACACTTGCCCCATGGGGGTTGGCAGAAGCCTATTTATCACATTTTATTATTATAATTACATTTTTAACCTTTTTAAAATCAAGTTCTTGTGTCACTTGCTACTAAACCAAATAAAAATTTCACTTTTGCTAATGCAATTTGTTCAATTTGCAAAATTAATTAATTATGCATAAATGATTTACTGCTGTAGCATCTGTTTTTAATAATATTGTCATTTTATTCATTAATAATTGCGAACAAGAAACAGAACTTTATAACAAGCAGTCATAAGGCATAAAATGCAACAGCCACTGACATGATTGCACAAAATATGTAACATTTTGATGTAAAAACAAATTTAATTAGGGTAACCACAAACAATATTATCTACCTAATAAATTGTGCATGTAATTAGCAAACAAAAAAAAAATACAAAGACATAATACTTCAGGATGGTAACCCTGTTTCCCTTCTAGGTTTCTTGTGTGCATTACCTATAGGTTGATTGGTGTTGGTGTCCGACCCTGCTCCGTTGTTTGCCCGACCCTAGAATGTCCATACATTGTGTGTTTAGTTCTACAAAAACAAATACCCTGTTGTTGTTTCAATGTTATATGTATCTCTGATTCTGTTAATTTTGTGGCCAAACTGTATTGCTAAGCATGTGTGTCCTTTTTTTAAACTGCGATTTGTATCTCAGCCAATATTGTGTTGTACTTAAATGATAAAAGCATAGTATGTTGTCTTTTCAACATAATTAATAAACTGAAAATGTCAAAATGTATTTTTTGTGGAAAATTCAAACCAAAATATAAGCCAAGTTTTGCGCATGCGCGCAGATGATTTCCCGACAGTTTCGCGATATCTTGATTCGCCGCAAGTTTAAGCCTTCCGCGATTAATTTTAATTATAAAATTGTAAAATCTAAAAACAACAATCGTCGTATTGAACTTAGGATCTCGAGATCAGCAGTTGTTATTTCACCAACAAGACAGACCGTGTAATACCTTTGTACGAATGATAAGTACATAATATCACGCTATTAACCTTATGAAGAGGCGCTAGTTATGTTATGATATCTGAGTAGTAAGGAATCTCCCTTTTGCCATACCTCAGGCACAATTCTATACTCCGTGTTATTATAGTTAGTAACTATTTAGGAATTGTGTATCGTTTATCGCTGTATTGCAGGTACAGGTATCGAACCCGAAACTTTTTGCTCAGCAACTACACTTGCCACCACTTGTTCAAGGGGGTATAGTAGTATTATATTATTTATAAATGGTGACTTCGACGTTTTCGACTTACAAAATAATTTAATCTTTAAACTGTCAAACACCAAGCGGTCACCGGTGACCGCGACCTATTGTTCTTTAATTGTGTCTATAAAACCGGTACTCGACGAGTTAAACCTCAAATATACGCGGGCGGCACGTCTGATGTGTTGCCGTAGGCCACTTACTATTTAATAATTATATAAATAGTAATGCTTTTACCCGCGGCTTCGCTCGCGTCACAAAAGGATAAAAAGTAGCCTATGTGACATATACCAATACATAAAGTGCCATCTATACCAATACTTTTGTTTTCCCTCGGGGATATCAAATTTTTCCGGGATAAAAAGTACCCTATTATTTAATCCGGACTTCTCACTTTACGTCTGCAAAAATTTAAAGCAATCGGTTTCGTAGTTACGGCGTGAAAGCGGAACAAACAAACAAACTCACTTTCCCATGTATAATATTAGTAAGGATAGTAAGGATTTAAATACTTACAATCATTATTAAATTAATTGAAATTTGAATTTTGAATTTGAAATTTGAATTCACTAACTTATTATGACAAGTTGTGGAATGCTTAAGCATATTTCTTAATTCTTTTTGATAAGTTAATGTATATGGGATTTCCATTTTATTTGACAATCTTTTAAATCTAAAACTTAGCATTATTTGTTTCGGATACTCGTTGGCCTGCATATATTGTGCATCGACTTCTTAAATTCTTGTTGGTAGAACTAGGTACTGAATACAATGTATAGAAAGTAATTAGTTTTTGAAGTCGGTTTTTTTAAACGTAGTTCTATTACCTAACGATTTTATTATGTAGTTTCATAAATACGGATTTGTTATAATTAGTGATTGATATAAATGTGTACTCTTACCTATATCCCTATTATCTTCACATATTTTCGATATGGGTTCAGGTTCGACATGTTTTTGTACAGGGCATTTAAAGATCTGAACTGTGTGGTCGGATAATGCTAACAATCATCAAAATCCTAATCCCAAAAGGCGGGTAACGTACTTGCAACACCTCTGGTGTTTCAGGTGGACACTTGGTCTTAAACCTCCGGGCCACCACGATATTATATAGATATTAGATCCATGTTCCACTAGCTGTCTTCCTAAGTTGGTTAATACTTTGTTTAAACTGTCAAATACCAAGCGGTCACCGGTGACCGCGACCTATTGTTCTTTAATTGTGTCTATAAAACCGGTACTCGACGAGTTAAGGTTATAATTTGAGAGAAGTTTCCTGAGGTCGGTAAATAGCCTTGTATCCAGTAGAATATTTATATTAAAATCTCCGCTGAGTAGCCTTGTAGCCTATTTGCAGAAAGCAGAAATAAATTCACTTGTTTTATTTGTTTCACTAGTAGTACTGTCTTACTCGCGTTGGGTGAACCACAGAACATATAAAGAAGAGGTGTACCTACACATAGCTAGTAAAAGATTTAGTTTATGAAAGAAAATCGATGTTTTTTTATTCTGTTGAAGCTATACATGCGTATAATTATTAATTCATTATTAATCGTTAATTCGACTGCACAGCATTCAATAACGTTACTAATACCTCGCAAACTCACCTTTGGGCACTTTGTTGTCTGCGGTAGTGCTGGTGAAGAATCGACCTGTTCCTCGCTTCTATTTCTCAAAATAAATGTCGGGCTGCACGGTAACTCCACGACCTTACAGCTACCCACATTATGTTAGTATCTAAATATAGTGTATTATAATAATTTAATTATTCTTTCCTTTGGTGAAGATACCCGATATACTTATTTATGTATGTAGGTATATTTATTTTTTAACTACATATCTTCTTTTTTATTTCCTTTTATAATTTTACAAAATGATCTGTTTAATTATCAAGTAATTATATTATTTTATATTTATATTTTATTATTTAATTATTTTTTTGTAACATTTTTCGTTGCTTTCGTCCGTAGTTCACTGCAAGGGTGCCAACTGAAAACCAGTGTTGGGGACTTATTGTGCCCAACTAATACTGAGTTGTCAAGCCCTTTTGCCATGGGCATGTTGCCACCTTATTGTTCTTTATTGTTTTTTTTTTAATATCAATGTGTATGGTGCATCATGCCTAATGGCAAATAAATTATTTTTCTTTCTTTCTTTCTATTCAATAACATCAAGAACCTTAAATTCGTGCAAACGTCTCACTAGTATACAAGTGCTCCCATTCCTAGTGGATTTTGATGAATATGTAGCTAACCTTTAATAAAAATAACTATAATGAAACTAACCGATAATTAAATTAATTAAGTTACTGAAAGTTAAATTTACTTTATAAAAGTTCCAGTTACCTATGTATATTATAACTTTCGCCAGACATACTAAATTTATTATTAATATTTTCGGCTTACTGCTGAATGCTACTCATGAATATGAGCCTTTAGCATGGCTTGAAACTAATCGAGTTCCTCGTCGAATAATGGCTTAAGTATCAGTTAGTTAAACCAGTAGTTATTAGGTGAAATTAGGGTTTCTTATGTACAATTCCAAAATAACATTAACAACCCATGCCCAGCTTTTTTTTGAGGTAGAAAAATCATCCAATGACTTCTCCTGCCTGTGTGAGGCGAGAGGAAGTGTCAGACACATACTGACTAAAAACCACCCCGTTCCTACTCCTGCACTTCGAGCTGGAGCCCCGGCAACCCGTTAAGTCCTCCGCGGCTCCGTCTGGGTCGCCTCATTGGGCCCCATCTGTGGTGGCCTGATGGCTCTTTTAAGGCGCGCGGAACGCGACGCGCCGTACGCTCGGGTCTGGTTCTGGTCGGGCGGCGAGTTAGACTGTCCACTGCTGGATTATCGACCTCCTCAAGAAAGATTTGCCATAATGTTAACGTTTAGCAGGCGGGGTGCAGACTGCAGTTTAAAAGGTTTAGGTGTATTAAGGAGCACCACTACCAGGTGTCTGTCAAACATATTATCCCTTAGTTGGCTATTAGGAGACCCGCGACCGCGAAAAGAGTAGGTGATAATTTGGCGGCAAATGTGGTGATGCGATGCAAATGTGATGATTAAAAACTGGTGGGTATAGCTAAAAGTTTAAAACCTGTAAAATCTAACCATGCTTTATGTTATGCAGTTTACTATCACGTCGTATCATTTTTAACGGCATAGGCATTAGATAACACAGGTATGCAGGCCTATTACTATAAAACTTATTTGAACACTGTAATTGACATCCATTCAAGTACTTTCCTGTGGCGCCATGCACTAACTTCAGCCAGTCAGGGTTACGTTTTGCGCATGCGCATAGATG